TAAAACCCAACAATAAAATAAAATTTAATAGAATATTAATATTACTACTTTTAAAAAAAATTATCATCCCATAATATAATGAACTCATCTAAAAAAAACATCTTATTTACGTAGAGCAAAAAAAATTATAACTAATAATTTAGTATATTATAAAATTTAGACCAAAGGAAGTGTTTGCTACTTATGGTATTTAGTAGATGTAATGTTATATATAAAATAATTTCATTTCATCTCCATTTTCCTCTTCTTTTGAGCAACCAATTTGCCAGTTTTTTCTTACAACCAAAGACTACACTGTACTTTATAAAGTGTGCCCCCAAAGATCCTTTTCTTTTACCCAACATTGATAGATTGGTTGACAACACATCTAGAAATATTGTCATTTATGGATACATATTGGGGATGCAATCGAATCTTCATGCTATATGGCTTTCGAATGGCGTTGCATTAAGATCCTTGATCATATAAACTCGAAAAAGTAAATTTGTTACATGGGCAAAACTTAAATGTAATTGTTAGAGTGTTGTTCTGCCATATAATTAGAGTTTACACTTGAGAACTAATTTTAACATTTAACACAAATACTTATTACGCAGATCATTGAGATAGTATTCCAATTTCATTAAAAAAAAAACAACATAAAAAACAGCTAAGAATCTTCATATACATTTTGTCTAACAAGTATATAATGCCAAAACATGGTTCTATACGGCACAAACTATTATGCAGATTGTTTAAATCAAATGCCAAACAAGTAAATTACTTATCCATGCTTTTAGAACAGAACAAAAACAGGTAAGGCACAAATTATTTCATAAGTGCATTTCATGTTTTGTACATAATTTTATTCAAGCAAAAGATAAAACATTTATCATAGAGAGTTCATTAAACTGTAATTTGTGCCTAGAAGTTTAAGCTCGCTTCAGCATTATCACCATGACCACCAACACAGCCAACCCCATAAAAGTTCCTCCCATAGTGATAGGATCTATGAAGTTTGCATTGGTATTTCCTCTAGCATCGATTCCCACAGAAGATGTCTCACCAGTTAAGAAGCCAAAAATATTCTGAAAGTAATTTGACACGCTGCTTACCATTTCAGCTACGGTGAACTTCACATTCTGGAGAATATTCAGGGAATCAATAAAACCATACACTGAATCAGAATAAGGTGAATCTCCCACTTTTTGGTCCTCTACTGCAAAACCAGCTGTTACATCACAGATTGCTTTAATTAACATCCAAAAAAATTCCATATTAGAAGAGTGTTGTAATGTTTCTTTTACAATCACAACAACAAAATTCAACTTATAACGTTGTGTATACTATTTCAATTTCTCACTAGTGGGACGGCCCTAATGATTCAAACTGCTGTAATGATTGAAATAGAAAAAACAGACCCTGAAACCATAATTACCTGTCTGCTGAGATTGGAAGAAATCTTGTAGCGCAGGATTTTGCACGATTGCATTCCATATATTCGGGTCACAAGCAATAGAAGCCACCACACTCTGGTTATTAAGCCCAAAAATAAGTTACTTCTATTAATTCAATCAATGAAGTCCAACAAAGATTAATATGTTTAGATCTTACACAAATTAAAGCATATATGCTTTACAAATATATACCTTAAGCTATACATTCACCTTCGATAATAAATAATAAAATTTGAGTTGTATTCAATAATAAAACATAAAGAGTCTACTTCATAAATATGATTAACCTTAATATAAACCTTAGTAATATACTTTTAGCATATTGTAAAAGTAAAACTTAAATTTTAATTGAAGATGAACATAAAAAATATACAAGTACTGTGATAAGTGTCTAATTAGTTTAATAAAATATAAATTTGAGACACTTATCTAGCACAATTTTTGTATATATTAATATAATTTTGGCCAATATACTTAGAATCAAAGAGGGACTCTTAATTTACGTTATTACAGGGAGTGATGAGTCTTTTGATCAGATTCTCTTTTTATTTTGTAGTTTTTGAAGTCTGGAGGCAAACGGCTCAGCCCTTCTAAAGGGCTGAGTGCTTTCAAGCAAGAGAGCTTAGCAAGTGCAACAGAGGAGAGGCGCTCAGCCATTCTAAAGCGCTGAGCTGTTTTGGCCCTGGAAGAATGAGTGTTCTCTGCCTCCTAGGCGCTCAGAGAATCTGAAGCGCCCAGTCCCTTTTGCTTGCTTAATAATGAAGAATCATCTCAGGCGCTCAGCAGATTAGAAGGGCTCAGCCCTTTGGATTACTTCACGATATAGAATTCTTCAAACTGCTCAGTCATTTTGAGGTGCTGAGCGATTCCTTCTCTTTCTTACTCACTCTGTTTTGATTCCAGCAACTATAAAAGGGCAGAGGAGAGAGAAAATAAGGGATAGAAACTGCACGAGAGAAGAACAGAGCGGAGAAAAGGATACAGAGCATCTTGGAACTTGTGGGAACACAATTCTTCGGATGATCTTTTTCTTCTACCTTCCTTCTTGTTATTTTGTGCTTTCTTCTTCTATGAAGAGCTAAAGCTCTTGGGTTGGGATTGATGTAATCATCGAACTCCTTTGTATTCCTCTTTGATTCATATAGATATATCTCATCTATTACTCAATGTTAGTGATTTGTATTCTGTTCTTAATACTTTGATAAATTGATCATTTATCTTTGATCTCAGATTTAGAATTTGGTTGGAAAACTTTTTCTGAATCTAGACTTGGAACAAATCACCTATTAGTTTTGAAAGTCAGGAATGATTTTGGAATTAATAGTTATAATAAGTTCTGACTCTTAATGCGGCTGAATGAAGTGAGGAATCATTCATTGAGTTAAATATCTTAAAATTTCTTATGCCAAGGAATTGGGTCTGAATGAATATAGAGAACTCAATGACAATGAGTAATAGAATCATTTGCAATAATCAATAGGAATACATAGGAGGGAGATTGATGAAATTTAATCCCAATGAAATCTAATCCCAACTGCTTCTCATATCTGTTTTTCTTACATTTAACTTAATTTTAGTTACTTAAATTTTAAGCACCGATTACATCAAATATCTAACATGTGTGAATATCCAAGCTTTGAATTTAGAAGTAACAATTAGTATAATAGAAATCAAAATTTACTTGACAAGTCCCTGAAAATCGACAACTTTTTTACTATACTACAAAGACTTGGGTGCGCTTGCTCAGAAAACCAACAAGTTTCTTAACAATGTACAAGTCCTGTATCTAAGGTTTTTTTGCACGGTAAACCTCTCTGTATCAAATTTGATTTCTGCAAATAAAATGAATATATTGAAGCACTGGTTACCTGGGCCTCTGGACTTTCACTAAGCAATTGAAAAGCATGTAAAGCAGGGTTTGTAGCTGAAGGATTTGAGATAGCCTCAGTGACACAAGATTTGTTGTCCAACTCTGAACGAGAAGATGACATAACTGAGACTTGACTACCCAGAGAAGAAGCGTCGCATTCGGCACAATTTGAAGATAGGTATATCCTAAAATATGATAAATCGATCGTAATGTGCCAGTGTTAGCAGAGATAGAAGTTTCATTAGAAATAAGTACAAGATAATACATAACAACTAGCATAACACGTGATATCTGTTGGAACATATATTCGAAACTTTGTTATTTATTTCTAGATAGGTTTATAACAATTTCGAATATTTCATATCAATGAAGAAAAATTTACATTGCATATCATATATCCGAGGAAAGACCTATCCCTCAGAAAAGAATAGTATAACACAATTGCTCCACCAGGTTTTTACTTTGTCTTTCGTTTTCAAATGTTTGAATAAGAAACAATAAATAATAAATAAAAAATTATTTATTTTGATATTTTACTTTTAGTTTGAATCAAACCATTTTCATAAAGTAATATAATTTATTTTTTAAAATAATTTAATTTTTTTTTTATAAAGATAGGAATATTACAAAAATGGTCTCAATGAGAATTTAACCTAGGTCCTTATTTATTTTTTAACCGATTCACTTCAACTAATTTTATAATATTATATATATAGCAAATCACTTAAATATTTTAAAATTATTATACTAATTATTTCTAAAATATTATATTATTTTTTTTAAAATATTAAGATTAGTCTAGTAATTGAAAATGCCTAAATAGAAATATGAGGTCAGGTTCAAATTGCGATCATCTTTGTAATTTTTTTCTATTTTCAACAAAATAAAGAGTGAGATCATACTTATGAATAGCATGTTTGAGTTCGGTTGTGGCTTCCTTTGCCTCCTGAATGCTAGGGACGCCCCCCAACACCGCCCTCGGCGCAGCCTCCTCCACTTCGCCGCCGTCGGCCACTTCCCAGTCGTCCACGTCCCATGACGCCGCTGTGTGCAGCGAAGGACCGTGAACGGACGGCACGCCCCTGATCCTGGCGGCGGCGAACTTGGCGACCGTCCTCATGGCTCCTCCGCCACCCATGTCAAGAAATGAAGTGAAGAAGCAAAAGGGTTAGTTTAGGTATTTAAATACGAAGTGGGTCCCGCAACGGAACGAAAGAGCGTCTCATAATTACAGTGCTACGGCTACCTGTTAACATTCTGCAATTTCCCATTCATCTTCCCTTTTTGTCCTTAACCTACCAAATAAATGTTATCTTCCCATGCATGTGCACCAGGAACTACAAGGGTCAATTATAATATTATATTTTAATTTTTAAATATAATATTATAAGTCAGGCTTAATTGTATGTTTAATTCTTATAAATGGTTTATGTGATTTTAAGTTATTTTATTTTTTAAATTGAGTAAATTTAATTATTTTATTAACTTTATCTTATCTACGCCCTCAAAATATCATAAAAATATGAAATATTGTGATGAATTTGATAAATATGAAATATAATCTTAAAAGTTTGTGAGTCAAATTTTAGTAAAACTTAACAAAATAATAAAAGATTTGTTTTTTTTACTCATAAAATAAAGGATATTTTTTTAAAATGTGATATTGGGATTTAAAGTTGAAAAATTACTATTACTTAATGAAATTTAAAGTTTTGATTGATGGGTTATAAATAAATTGTTTAAATGATTTAGTTGGCTTAAATTATGAAGATCGAGTAAAATATGATAATTTAAGGGTTTTAAGTAGAGAAAAAAAAATCAAATGTGAAATTAAATTTGTTTAATTTTGAAAAAGAAAAGGTAATTTATTTTAAAATAGTTGAGGAATTGAAATAAAAAAGATTAAATAAAGAAATTAAAGTACGGAGGGAAATTAAGATAGTCAAAAATATTCCTATCAATACCATAATTCAAGAAAGAAAAAAAGTTGTTCACTCAAATAATTTGACATTTATACTTCTTAACTAAAGATTCTGTGTATATGAAATATAACTAAAAATACCACTTTATTTTTATAAAAATTAATCAAATAAAAAGAAGTTATATCTTTTAATAATATATATATATATATATATATATATATATATACAAGTT